ACTTCAGGCAAGTTGCCCTCATCCAGTGACCCAGAGAACTGTCACAAAGCTCAAGCCCGACAGGCCCAACGCCTTTTCATCAGTAAATCTCCAAGGACCTCACTCCGAACCGGTTTATTCTGTTTTCCCCACCATTCTAACAGGCCCATCTGGTTTCCACCCTACCCCATCCCATAAGTGGCGTAGGTATCACGAGCTGACGACAGGAACATCGGCAGTCACCTCTGGCAGCTGGCATAGTGGGGAAATAAGAATTTGCAGAAGCTGTGCAACTAGACACAAGGGCTGACTGTCACAGGTTGGGGACCTTGGGGTGGGGGCAGGAGTCTCCTCAGCTTTAAGCCCAGGCACTGTGAGAAAGTCATGGGGAGTGGCAGGCGCCGTGACAAGGGGCTCACCGCATCCCAGTTCTCTCGCTTAAGGCCTGTTGCTTCAGGACACAGGCCAGCAGCAGATTTGTGGTGTGGGAAGCCCAGTATCTGCTGGCTCCAGAAAAGGCCCCTGGCCAAGCCAGCAGGGCTGATCAGGCTCTGGGAGGAGGCGACCCTTGCCCCAAATTTATTTATTTGGGCTTCCCAGGTGGCTTAGCAGTAAAGAATCCACCTGCAGTGCAAGAGACGTGGGAGACATGAATTCGATCACTGGGTCAGGTAGATTCCCTGGAGAAGGGCGTAACGACCCACTCCAGTGTTCTTGCCTGGAGGATCCCATGGACAGAGGAGCCTGGAGGGCTACAGTCCACGGGTCACAAAGAGTCAGACAGGACTGAGCGGCTGAGCACATTTATTTGTTTATGGTGCACGGGCTACTCCCTGGTTGCTGTGAACAGGCTTCTCATTGCAGTCGCTTCTTTTGTTGCAGAGCACGGGCTCTAGGCAAGCAGGCTTCAGTAATTGCAGTGCATGGGCTCAGGAGTTACAGTTCATGGGCCCTGGAACACAAGCTCAATAGCTGTGGCGCACAAGCTTAACTGCTTCTCAGCATGTGGGATCCTCCCAGACCCGGGATCGAACCCATGTCCCCTGCATTGGCAGGCGGATTCTTAGCCACTGGACCACCAGGGAAGTCCCTTACCCGAATCTTAAAGAGCAAGTGAAACTCAGCCCAAGGAGAAGCAGGCAGAGCACTTCTGGCAGAGCACGGCAGTCAGCAGAGGCCTGGAGGCCACAGCTTGAGGACCGGCATGGCAGGTGGTGGGAGACCAGGCTCAGGGAAGTGGAGGGGCGCCGGTGCCACCTGCACGGTTTACAGGCAGAGGCTTGGCTGGGGAAAGCAGTGGGCGGCTAGCGTTGGCCTCTCCCTGCCCCAGGGCAGTGAGTCCCTCTGGGAAGGGGCTCCTGGATCCTCTCGCCTGGACCAGCAGGCCCAGAAAGGACAAGCGCTGTCGAGAAAAGATAACAGCACTTTGCAGAGGCAGAGTTTACATTCAGCATTCCTGCGTTATCTCTTTCCAGAGTCGACAGAGCTTTGCTGAGGCTTATTGCATGCTCCCCTGATGCTCCTTCCTTTTCTCCCTAATTTACTTTTTCGCGTCTTTGTAGAAAATAAAGCATCTCCCCTCCCCCGACATACCCCCAGGCACCCGCTTAGTCTATGTCCTTCCATATCTCGTCTAAGCACTTACATACCTGCCTTTTCCCCCATAAAAGTACAGTGTTGCTTTGTGTGGAATTTTGCCCTCCCCCAATGGTGTTTCTTTCTCCATCTTGCCCATTCACCCAGCATCATGTCGTGGCAGTCTGGAGGGATTGCACAGAGGTCAACCCCATTCTTGTACAAACTGCAAAATAGTCCTTAGTGAACCTGCATGTTCACTTAGCCCTCCTGAGGGTCGTTTGCAGTTTTTTGCTCTTGCAAGCCACAAGGCCCTGAACTCTGGCACATGTGTGTGAGAAACGCTTTGCACACTTCTCATGGACACCACCCAGTCCCCTGCCAACCTGCGTATGCACGTCTGCCCTCTAAGCGACTGCATTCGATCATATCTGCTTTGCTGGGCCCTCCCAGTGCCTGGTATCATCCAGCCTTTTCTGGTTTTGCCCATTCAGTGGGTATACAAGTGTCATCTCACTGTCTGCACCTTCTTTTCCTTTGTTCGTCCAGTATTTGCTGGGCACCTAACGCGTGCCCAGGCCCCATGCTGGTGCAGGGGTGCAGCAATCGAGAACAGCATGGCGCCTTGGCCCTCTTTACAGAGTGAAAGAAAGTGATGGTGTTGATCCCTCAGTCTTGTCCGACTCTCTGTGACCCCGTGGACTGTAGCCCACCAGGCTCCTCTGTCCATGGGATTTTCCAGGCAAGAATACTGGGATGGGTTGCCATTCTCTCCTCCAGGGGATCTTCCTGACTCAGGGACCAAACCCGGGCCTCCCGCATTTCAGGCAGAGTCTTTACTGCTTGAACCAAGGCCCAGAGAGGTGAAGAGGCAGTCCTAGGGTCACCCAGTGAGGGAACAAAGGAGGCAAATCTACAGAGCTTGAGGTAGTCTTTCCTCCTGAATCGTATCTCTAATAGACATCTCAGTACTACAGAGGCTCTGTACCTTCTTCCCTGGCTGTTCCCCCTCCACCCCCAGGACTGTTGGGTCCTCTTGGGGGGGCTCCCCAGGCAGCTGAGCGAGCAACCCCACCACAGGGCAGGGCTGTTTCTGTTCCCCAAACCTCACTGCATCCCAACGTCCCAACACGGGAAGAATGTGCCAGGCCCTCAGTGGCTGAAGTTAGCATCAACCTCCCTCTGTTTCCTGAATTTGGGTTTCCAGCCGGCCTACCCCCAAACTACTGCCGCCGCCGCCCCAAACCAAGCAAGCGAAAGAATGAACCTGTGGTTTGATTTCGCTCCTCTTGTCACTGTGTGTCTGACTGCAGGAGGGCCGCTGTGCGCCTGCAAGCGCTTGCTTGTGTTTCATTGTGTGGGAGGGGAGGCGTGTGAGAACCTGCGTGTGTGTGTGGAGGCGGGGATGTATACTTGGGAGTCCGCACATGAACCTCGGGCTCTGCGTCTGAGTGGGTTTGAATGGCAGTTTCTTTGTATATGTGACTGGGTGTCTGTGTTACTGAGGCACTTACTTTCTGAGTGTTTTTTCAGGGAAATGCGGGGTCAGAATGGGTCCGTAAAGCATACTTGTGACCCAGTCTGTCTGCTTCCCAGTTCACTTCCTCTATTACAGAGTTGACGTTCTCTGCAGTAGAGCTCCTGCCTTCCATGATTGTATCAGACAAGGACACTGTCCAGGAAATAGGGAAGTCCTCTGGTGAGTGGGTCTTAAAGTCCCTGACCTTATCCTCTGACCCTCTGTCTCCACCTCCTCCCTTAAAACTTGCCCTCTAGAAGCGCTTCCCAACCTCTTCTGCACAGAGGTGTTTGAGTGACTATCATGGCTTTATGTGGCTGTACTTTTTTTTAAATTTTATTTTTGTTTGTGCTGGGTCTTCATTGATACCCAAGGTATTTCTCTAGCTGTGGCGAGTGGGGGCTACTCTGTAGTTGTGCGCAGGTTTCTCACTGCACTGGCTTCTCTTGTTGCAGAGCGTGGGCTCCAGGGCCTGCAGACTTCAGTAGTTGTGGCTCATGGGCTTAGCTGCGCCATGACAGGTGGAATCTTCCCAGACCAAGGATCAAACCCATGTCCCCTGCCTTGGCAAACAGGTTCTCAACCACTGGACCACCAGGGAAGTTCCAGACTTAGGTTTTTAAACAAGGAACCAGGAGTTTTGGGGCAAAGCAGGAATCTGATCTCAGAACGTCCCTCCAAGAGGAACGTGTCTGTTGCCATGCTTGGTCCAGGCTCCGCTCCCTCCCTCCTGGCCACACGCTGCCCGCTGCGCTTCCTCTAGTCACTCCTGCCCCTGCCAGTCAGTCTCCACACAGCAGAGAGGCTCGACCCTGGTGCTTGCCTGATTGAGACCTCCCATGACTTATCGCACCAAACGAAGTGTCGAGGCTCCCCACGGCCTGCAAACCCTGCGTGGCCCGGCCCCCGCCTGGCGCCCCCACCCCTTGGCGGCCCCCCGCACACCTGTGCCAGCCATTCCAGTCTTTGGCGTGCCTCAGACTCCTTCCTTCCTCCCTCCAGCCTTTGCACATGCTGTTCCCTCGGCCTGCAACGCACTCTCCTCAGGTCTCCATTTCCCTGAACTCCATCCCCACCCCCAGCCCCACCAGGGTTGTTCTGTGTGACACCCGGACTGGCTGCCTTGATTCTGCTTATGGTGACCAGCAAACATTTCATATTTGGCTAGGCCCGGCCTTAGTTGCGGCCTGCAGGATCTTTCCTTGCAGCATGTGGGCTCCTCAGCGTGGGGGCTCTGTAGTTGTGGCACATGGGCTCTCTAGTTGTGGCCTGTGGGGATCAGTTCCTTGATCAGGGATTGAACCCACGTCCCCTGCGTTATTAAAAGGTGGATTCTTAACCACCGAACCATCAGGGAAGTCCCGTGACTGGCAAATCTTGTGCTTATACGTTTGTGTTCTTTCTGTGGATGTGGTCTTGTGTTTCAGCCCAGTCCCTGAAAGCACTTGGTCCGTTATGTATTGAAGCAAATGAGGCTCAGAGAGGTTGATCACCAACCCAAGAGCACACAGCAGGCAAACAAAATGAGCCAGGACTCAAACTCAGGATGCTCTGGACTGCAAAGCACATGTTCCTAACCCCCTTCCTGCCTGTCTCCTGCCATGGTCCTGGCCTGCCTACTGTACATGTGGATGACACGAACAGTGTGTGGGCTCCAGGGTGTCCCATGTGTGAGTGTGCATATGCACATGGGAGCATATAAGACAAAGGAGGGCTGTGCCCAAGCAGAGCATTGCCCATCTATGCCAAGGGCTTCTTGATGTGTTTACTTCCCATTCGTTTCTGTTCCACGTGAGGACACTGTTCCTTACACTTCTATAAGATCCCATCCCAAGGCATGTCCCTCCTCCCTATCCAACCTCCTCCCTGCTTTGTGCTTCCAACCAGGCCCCCAAAACACAACACGTTTAATGAAACGACTCAAGGATAAGTCATCCAGTGTACAAGCTTTAATCAATGTTGCATAGAACTCACTGTAGTAACATGTTCCTGCAAAGTTTACTTCTTCCTTCTAGCGTTCCACTTGTGATGTCTTTTATCTGGGTGAAACCAACACAGGAACAAGCCATGGGGTGTCATCTCAGTTGTACTTTCGTCCTAAGGGATAGCAATGGGAAAGGGAGCCTTTAATAACTGAGTGCTTCCTAAGATCACTTAACCCTCTGCTTTGGGTTTTTGGATGCTCATGTGTAATCAGATGTGGGGCATGGCTAGAACTGACATAGTCATCAGGGTCCTTTTGACTTGGGAATCCATCCATTTGTCATACACCCATGAATTCAATGCAGTCCAACATTCATTTCATTCTTTAAACCATGTCCAGGCTACACATCAGTCCACCAATCCCACCGTCTTTCTTTCATTCATTGGTCCAGTTAGTCCATTCAGCCAGTTCGCCATCCAGTCTGTTCATCTACCCATTTATCCATCCACTAACCTGATCCTCCACCCACCTAGACCACCATTATTTAACCAATTCATATCCTCTCAATATTCATGCCTCCAGATATCCTATTGTGTTCAACTCAGCCATCTGCCCAGCCAACCAATTCATTCACCCTCCCAGTGCATCAGCCCAATCTAGAAATCTAATCACATCCCTTCTGATTCTCAGTCACTTAATGGATTCATTCCTTCCCCTCATCCTTCCACTCACCCATCATTCAAGCAACCATCTAATCCTTCTATCCGCCCCCTATCTAACAGACCTCCTAATTACTCATCTACCCAGCCTTATTCACCTATCCATGCTCCCACCTATCTAATCTGCCGTTTTTCCATCCTTCCAATCTTCGCATCCAATTAAAGAGCTATTCCATCAACGCATCAGATATACACAACTGCCACAGTTCCCTCTCCCTCTTCTCCCTTGCCTGTTGGGTCCTCTGTGCTCTGACTTGGCGGAGGCAGCCTTCACCTCACCACCTCTACAGCCCCGCTGGGCTGCGACCCCTTCTCTGGGGGAGTCCTGTGAAAGGCCACCGGCCTGAAAGGTACCTGAGCTCTGCTTCTTTCTTTTGTACACCTGCTTGCTCCTCTTGACCTGCTTCCTCTTGATCACCTTTCCCTCCAAGTTCTTCCTGTTCTTGAAGTGGCTGCAGGAGTGGGTGACGGGCCGCAAGGGACACTGGTGGGAGTGCATGGTGTATCTGTGGCGCCTCAGAGGAGGGCTGGGGCCTGGGCTCTGGCCCTGGTGGCCAGCGGGGCTGCGGTGGCTCCTCCGGCGCTGGCTGGAGCTCTGACTGCGGCTGCGGCAGCTCCGGCTGTGGCTGCGGCTCTGGCAGTGGTGGCTGCGGCTGCACTGGTTGCAGGCGTGGCTTTGGGGCCGAGAGTTGCTATGGGGCTGGGTGTGGGTGTTGGGAAGTCTCTGTGTCTTGTTGTCCATGGAGGGTGGGGGCGGCCTTGCTTAGAGGGGCAGGGGCCGCCTCCGCCTCCTCTTCTGGCAGACCCAGCTTCACAGAGGCCCTGGCAGCCCCTGGTTATATAGTTGGGCCCGATTGTGATGGCACCAGCTACAGGGGGGTGTGTAACAGATGTGACCTGACGGGGAACAAAGCCCTCTGCCCTCATCCTAACCTGCAGGGTGGGGCAGCTTTCAAAGGGTGTCTCTGTGGGTTGAGAGCAGGGCCCCTCAGGTCAGGTGGAGCTGGGCTCACACTGCATATCTGGGGCTGCTTTTCTTTCTGATCTCTTCCCACTGGGCATCCACCTCTCTACGTCCTAGTTTCCCTGCTTTTGTAGAATGGGGCATCGGGACGCCTACCCCATCCTCGGGGCCAGCCCGCAGTGAGAACTCAATAAATGTGTCCTAGCATACCCAGTCTTGTTCTGGCTCCACACAGGCAGTCTGGAATCCAGGCACACAGCCCTGACCCCAGTAGAGTGGGGATGGGCGGGCGGTCAGTAAGGCAGACGACCACCACCCAGGTGGGTGCGCACGTTGAGCCATGGGATGACTTATCATGTGGAGGGTGAGAGTGACCAAAGGTGTGGATATGGGGCAGAAACCAACACACTACTGTAAAGCAGTTATCCTTCAGTTAAAAATAAACTAATTAATAAATGAATAAAACTAAAAAAAAGAAAGTAACCAAAGGGACCCACAGTGGTCCTGGGGCCTGCCTGACAAGCCTGCCTCCCCATCAGGATTTAAAGCTGGGAAATCCAGAGTCGGGTTCAAAACCCACTCTGTTCTGATATCCTGTCTTGGATCAGTTGTTTTGAGGCCTGGTTTCCCTGTTGGACAAAGGGCTGTCATCCCTTCCTTCCTGGCATTCTTCTGAGCCTGAGAAGCCTGTCAAACCACAGGAGGCCCTTGAAAGCCGTTCTCCTGCCTCCGGCCTGCCACCTTCGCTCCCCTCCCCTCCCTGCTGGCTCAGCCCCATTGTGAACGCCTGCTCTGACCACCCAGCCCCTGGGCAAGAAAGCCCACCCCATGCGTGCACACACGGCCTGGTCAGAGCTGCTTAGTCCCTTTCCCTCCACAGCCACCCACGCCTGGTCTCAGCTCTGGGCCCTCCAGCCTCCCCAGAGCTCAGCCTCGGGAGACTCCCTCCATCTCCACCTCCCCTCCCCCTAGCAGAGCCCCCAGCCCACGTCTGTTGCTCACGCACAGCTTTGCTATCATTTGCTTTTGTTGTGGTTTATTTCTTCATAAATGTGTTAGCGCACATGGTGGAAATCACCCTCCTTGAGGGAACACTTCTGATACGGCTGGCCTCCAGGCTCCACCCCTTCTGGGCGGCTTTGTCCCCCGAGTCTTAGTGACCTTCGGACTGGGCTGAACAGAGTCCCCCGAAAGATGTGTCCACGTACCAACCCCCGGAAGCTGTCAGTGTCACTGTATTTGGGAAAGCCTCTTTGCAGATGTAATTAAGGATATTCAGAGCATCCTGGATTATCCAAGTGCACCCTAAATCCAAAGGCAAATGTCTTTATAAGAGAGAGAAGAGACGGCTCAGGGAGAAGGGGCCACGGGAAGGCAGAGGCCCAGATGCGAGTCAGGCAGCCGTTAGCCGTGCGGACCCCGTAGGCTGGACAAGGAGAGGAGGCTCCCCTGGGGCCTCCGGGGTCTGTGGCCCAGAGAACCCCTTGATTTCAGACTTCCGGCCTCTGGAAGGCGAAAGGACATATTTTAAGCGGCCAGGTTTTTGATCGCTTGTTACAGCAGCCCTGAGGCGCTACTATTACAGTTTACAAAGGGGGAGCAGGCTCAGAGAGGCTGAATGACCAGCCCAGAGCCCCGGAGCTAGTCAGTGGCAGAGCCAGGATTCGGATTCAGGCTTGGCCGCCTCCAGTCCAGCCTCGTGGTCACTGAGGCCTCCACAGGGGCTCAGGGGGCGCGAGCGGCCCTGTTCTAACGCCGCTGCCTTGCGTGGGCTCAGGACTGACGGGATCACGCTGTGAGGACTCTGCCTGGGTGTCCCGCCCCTCTCCTCCCCCTCCCCCCACTCTTCCCTGCTGACTGCCCACTCCCCAACCCGGGCCTGTTGGAACAGAGTGAAGTGAAAGTTGCTCAGTCGTTTCCGACTCTTTGCAACCCCATGGTCTATACAGTTCATGGGACTCTCCAGGCCAGAATGCTGGAGTGGGTAGCCTTTCCCTTCTCCAGGGGATCTTCCCAACCCAGGGATCGAACCCAGGTCTCCCGCATTGCTGGTGGATTCTTTACCAGTTGAGCTATCAGGGTGGCACATAGACTGTTGTTTATTAATCTCAGGGCCCACAGTGACTGGCACACAGCAGGGACGTCACGAATGTTTGCTGGGCAGGTGATTGGGCGGGCGGACCTGTGGGCCGTGGACAGAGGGACGGAGCTGCTGAGTGCTAAGGGGACAGTGTTGCTTGGCTGGGGCGGGGATGGGCAGTCAGACAGCAGGGCCGCCCCCACGAGCCTCCCCTGCCCTGCCCTGTCTCCAGGCCTCAGTGATGGTGGCCTCCACCCTCCGAGGAGCCCAGGACCTCCCCTTGCCTCTCACACCGTCCCTGGAGATACCACCTCCCCACCCCTCCCGGCAGCCCCAATCACAGTCCTTCTCAGTGGCCCACCAGAGTGGTGCTCGGGGGCTGTGGAGAGCGGAGGGTGGAGATCATGTTTGTTATTTCTATTGGAAAGAAAAGGATTAAAGGAGTCGTGGTCAGGAGGGGTAACAGGCGCATTCTGGTGCTTCTAAGGAAGGCCAGCCTGAGGGACCCAGGTCTGGGTCTGTGTCCTTTCTGGCTTCCTCTGGGCTTCCTTTGCCCGCTGCCCTAGTGAGGGCATCGGCTCTGTCCCACAGCGGGACCCCTCGAGCGAGGCAGAAGCGAGCCTCTCGCAGGGGTTCCGACGGTCCCTTTGAGCGTGAGGTTGGCAGCAGAACCAGTGGCTGAGAAGGACTCAAACCCCTCTAGCTGCTCTGTCCCCCAAAACCAGGGTCCATGAGTCAGGTGGGACCCCCGTGGCTCCAGCTGCAGTGCCCGTCTTGGGTGAAACACTCGCTGTGTGCCAGGCCCAGTCCCTCCCCAGCATCTCAGTCACCTCTCCCGACCCACTGACCTGCGGGGTCGCTAGTGTCAACGGACAGACGGGGACTTGCTCAGTGTCACGCAGCGAGCGTAGGAAAGCTGGCGGCAGATCTGCTGAGCTCCCGAGTCCGTGCTCTTGGGACTCTCCAGGGTCTTCCCCGGCGGCCCAACTGTTCCGACTGTGCTTCCACTGCAGCGGGCAGGGAGGAGGGGTTCGACCCCTGGTCAGGGAACTAAGATCTCATGTGCCTCGTGACGCAACCACCGCTCCCCTCCCCCCCAAAAAAACACTGTCCTCAGTTAGAAAAGCAGTGGGGGTGTGCTGAGGGAGATGACGCTGTCCCGCCGGGTGCTCAGACTCGGAGAGGAGTCCTCCCTGGAGGTGGGACCCGCTAAGGTGACTTTCTCACCCAGGCTGCCACGCGCTCCACCCCCCGCAGCAGGGGACGGCGGCTGAGCAGTCTTGGGGAGTGGACCGTGCGAGGACTTCTGGCTGGGGTTCAGACCTAGGGGTCACTGCTCTTCAACCTCCCTACACACACACACCCAGCCACCCACACCCACAGACACAGACACAGGGGCCGGGGGTGGTGGCGGGGGCAAGGACAGACAGGAGGAGGGGGATTCCTTGGAGACTCTTTATTGACTCTTTTCTGAAAGCTCTCCTCCTCTCGGGAACGGCGGCAGGCTCCTCTTCCCCCGCCGCGTCGCAGGTCAGGAGCACGTCTGCTTGGGCTCGGGGCCCTGCTGGGCCCCCGAGTCGGTGTCTTCGGCCCCTTCCTCCTGCTGCCCAGCCTCCATCAGCAGCAGCTGGCCCTGCACCGGGAGCTCCTCCTCTTCTCCCGCCTCCTCCTCGCCCCCCTCCTCCTCGCCCTCCGACGACAAGGAGAAGTTATCCTGGCTCACGCAGGCCACGAGCTTCTTCATGGAGTATTCGTGGCCCCGGCCGTGGCCCATGCCAATCTTGGCACAGCGAGAACCCATCACCCGCCTCAGCTGCCTCTCTGGACTGGGAGGAAAGGCCACTGGCGGGGTACAGAGGGGCCGCTGAGGGTGGTAGGCAGGGCGCTGACATCACAAAGGGCCCCCCACCCCGGAGCCTCCCGCCCTCGGTGACCTGAGTCTGAGCCGACACCCCACTCAATCCAGGCCGCCAGCTGCCCATCCGAGGCCCCGCCGGCCACAGGTCAAGGCTGAGGCGAGACAGCAGGCACACAGCCTCACCCTGCGGTGTTGCCGCCTCCAGGGCCTTGTGTGCCCTGGCAGGGGTCCCCCCACCCCATTTGAGCTGGGGTGAGAGTTGAGGATAGAATTTCCACAAGCAGGAGAGCACACAGATTCCTCCCCACACCCCAGGAGTGCCCAGCCCAAGAGAGCTGGTGACAGTATGGGACGACAGGCAGCCTAGAGGGAGCCTTCCTGGGGGCCTAGAAGTGTCTGGTGTCTTGACCCGGGTGGTGCCTTCACAGACATAGCTAAATCGTATGTTTTTTACGATTAAAAAAACTAAAGAAAACCCTACTCTTTCCTGTTCTCCAAAGTCACCCTTTAAGGGCAGCGGCACATAAGCCCTTGGGGTCACCAATCTCTCTGGCTACACATGTCCATCCAGCCCAGTTTCAGCCAGGAAGGGGATTAAGTCTCCCTGGTCATTTCTGAGCACTGGGAATCCATTCTCCGACATGATCCATAATTTAGATCTTGTCCCAAACCCTCAGTGGCTGTGGTCAGCTGAATAAGGACCCTCCCAGGATTGTGAGATTATCCTGGGTTATCTGGGTGGGCCCCGAATGCAGCCGTAAGTGTCCCTGTTAGAGGGAGGCAGAAAGATTTCACACAGGGAGCGGAGACTGGAGATGTGACCACAGCAGAGGAACTCCAAAGGTTATAAGAAGCCATCAGAAGCTCATAGGAGGAAGGAACGGACTCTGTCCTGGATGAGGGTCCTATCTCAGAATTCTGGTGGCCCGTGCCTCCTCACCCAGTTCTGCCCTTTGCCTTTCGCTCCCCCTTCCCAATGCCAGCCTTGTTCTTGCTGGAGCACGATAGACCTGCTTCCCATCTTGTCTCAGTTCCCACTTGCCCCCGCTGCCCAGCACTCTTTCAGGTTCTTCAGGGGCCTGGGAAGTTGACCGGAAATGGGAAGGTCTAGGTGGAGTTGCATGCCCTGATGGCTCCGGGTGACCGGGCGCCCCCAGGCTCACAGGGGAACACACCAGCACGCAGCCCCCTGCCCCGGCCGCTCCCCCCTCCCCTGACCCCGCGGGGAATAGAAGCTGTGTGTTTGCGCCTTCGTGCAAAAGAGACCCTGACAGGCTGGCAAGTTTCTTATCTCAAGATTTATTTGGCAGATGACTTTTGCTCATTTTAACTCAAGATCTCGTGGGCTCCAAGGGGGATTTGCTATGGTCTTGTGAGGTGCTTCCTGGCAGGTGACTCTTCCTGGTAGGCCCAGGGAAGCTTAGAGCTGCCTTCCGCATCTCCTCCTCCTTCTCTTCATCCTTCGGCAGCCTTTTGGAAAAAGTTCTAGTTACAGGGCCATCTAGGGAATCTGGGGTCAGGGGGCTGCTGGGGTGGGGTGGGGGCACAGGATGAGGGGGCTGTCAGACAGGTGGGGCCCCAGCACCACGGGAGCCGCCCGCTGCCCACCTGAGCCCTGGCCTGGAAGCCTGGGGGGTGCCGGGGATGGGAGCACAGGGGGGGCCCGCCGAACCTCTACGGCGCCTCCTGTGCCTGCAGGCCCGTCTCCGGCGCCTCCTGCAGGGGCGCCGCCGCGTGTGGCTCCTGTGTCTGTAGTGGTAGCGGCCTCTTTGAGTCCTCCCGTAGACCGGAATGTCCTCCGGCCTCAGCTCCTGCGTCTCTTCCGGGCGCTCCGTCTCGCCCTGCTGCCCGGAGCCCTGCTGCCCGGTTGGACTTTCAGTCGGACTCTTCACGCGGCATCGGACCATCGTGCTGAAGGGGGTCACGGGTGGGCAACTGGGGCTGAGGCAGCAGCTGGCCTTGGGGGGACAGGAGGAGGAGGCTGAGGCCTGCCCCCTGCTCTTGCAGTTAATAGTGTTGGTCAGGTCTGTCCACAGCCCTTTGGGGGGACTTGTATATAAAGGGGACCCCCCCACTGTGACTTGGCGGCCCCACCCCACCATTGTCCCCACCTGGGCCCCTTCTGCGAAAGCAGCACAGGGTGTGTGCAGCCAGCTCCTCGCCCTATAAAACGTGTCCCCCGTGCCTCGAAACCAGGGCACAACATCTCTGAAGAGCAGTGCCAGCCTCCTTGTCTGGATCCAAGCCCTCACCCTGCCCCTCCCCCAGCTCATGTGGTTGTTCCTGCTTCCTTGCTGCCTCTTTAGCCAGTGCTGTGGCCTCTTGGGGGCTGGGACGGGGCCTCATCTGTCCACAGGGTTATCTTGTGCTCACTCTGTGCCAGGAATTCCACAAATTCCATACATTCACTCCTTAAATGAGGCAGGAAGAGGTTAAGTGACTTACTTGCTCATGGTGCCTGCAGATAAGGAGCCAAGGCCAGACTTCAGAGTCCATTTGCCCTCAGCCCTCCACCCACTCCCCAGCCTGGGGCACAAGCCTCCCTCCCCAAAAATGTGCGCATCTTCACTCCACCCCAGGCCTCCTGCTGAGCCTCTCCCAGTGCTTGGATGACCCATGAAAATCCAGAATCAGAACCATAGCAGCCGTGGGCAGGACGTGGTAGGCAGACGAATGCCCTCACGCCCTCGACCCTGAGTGTGAGCAGACACACAGAAGGGACTTTCTTAAGAGTGACTTAAGCAGATGGAAAGGTCATCCTAGATTATCTGGGTGGGCCCAGTGTGGGTTCCACAAAACCACATGGATCCTTATAAGGTGGAAGAGGGAGGCGGGAGGGTCACAGGAAGAGATCTGACAGTGCTAAGCCACGGGCTTTGAAGACGGAGGCAGGGGCCCTGAGTCAAGGAATGCAGTTGCTGGCAAGGAGCTAGGAAAGACAAGGTTATTATGCTTCTGAAAACCTTCAGAACCTGCTCGGACCTTGAGTGTTAGCCCCATAAGGCCCATGTTAAGACAATAAATTTGTGTTGTAAGCTTTGAAGTTTGTGGTGATTTATAACAGCGATAGGAAACTTTTGAGGCCTCCTATCCTCCTTAGTGCTCTCAGATTCCCCCAGGGCACTTGTTCAAAATATGAATGCCCAGGCCTTACCCCGAGACCCTGCTAAGTCAGCATCTCCACCACTGGCGCTTGATCTACTTGTAAAAGCCTACCCAGGGGGGTCCATGTTCAGCCTTCCCACCAGCATCTTTCTGACTGGCTATGAAACCAATCGAGTGGTTGGGTCATGGAAGCGAGTTCATCTTCAGTGACAGTGGCCTCACCTGCCAAGACAGGGCCATCAACACTGCCTTGCAGGTTGGGTGTGAGGCTTGGAAGTGACGAATGCCCAGTACCTGTGCTCCATGGTGCTCATAAATGGATGTCAGGCCACGATGTTTCTGTGACCCTGTCACTAGGCAACTGGGTCGGAGAGTTCTGATCACTGATAAAACGCCCTGTGCCAAATTGCTGTGCCATGAGATGGTCGTGGCCCGAGTTCTCATGTTAATAATCTGACAGTTCTGAGCCCAGGAGACAGCAGTGTTTTCGTGAATCACCTTCACATCTCAGAGAATCATACGGTTGAGTGGAGCAAGTTACTTTTGTTTCTTCCACCTGGGATGAGGATATTGTTCCTGATTAAATATAGCTTAGCCTAACCACTGGACAAGTTACTCACTGTACCCAGAGACATCAACTTTTTAAACCTCAACATCGGGCACCTTAGGGATTGATGGGATGTATCCATGGCTGGTGAATTGAGCTTGAACTGGGAAATGGTTCTTGGTTCTCGGGGAGGTGCATAGCAAGCCCTAGTGGAAGCATTTGTCTATTTCTGTGGCCCATCTCAAGCTGCCAGTAGAAAGCCACTGAGCCCAGAACTCGGGGAGGGATGTGTTCATAAGCCAGCACAGCTCCCGTCCCCACTGGAAAGGGGTCTATAAAGGACTGGGGGCTGGGAGGCAGGTTTGGGTTGTGACTCGGGAGTAGTCGAGTTTGGAACAAGATCCTGCGTGAATCATCCTTTGTGTATGTGTCCCCTCTTTCCAGTGTCCCCAACTCCCTCCTTGCCCCCCCTCCCCGAGTCCCTCAAAGCAAAGAGTCAAAGAGTGGAATGATGTCTTTCAACATTTATTGACAGGTGGCATTGTTCGTTAGCAGGCTCCTGTTCATGTCATTGGAACGGTGGCATGTTCAAGATGTGGCAAGAGGGTCTTGAAGGCTGGTTATCTTTCAGGCAGGAGTGCGGTGGTCTTGCTACTGTGCGGTTATTTTGTACACCTTAGGACGGTGTAGCGGCGGCAGCACACTGCGGAGAACGAGAGGGTAAGAGGACACTTCAGCACAGCCCAAACCCCCAGCCCTGCCCCAGCTCCCTGGCCCCTGCCCCCAAGGATGGGCCCTCTTCACCTCTCCTCCTGCGCCTCCGACCAAAGCGCCTCCTTCGTCTGTGACATCTTCGTCTTCGGCGGCGGCGGCACCTGCTCCGGCTATGGGTGAGGCAGCATCGGTATCTGGCCATGGTGCTGGGTGGATTCGGCCTGGATGCTCAGAGCAGGGGATACCGCCTTGGTTGAGCCAGCCAACCTGTGAGCAGGTGGAATTTGTGGGCTATGACAGGGGCTGACTCTGCGGCCTCTTATATAGACCTGGGGAGGGCCCTGGTCATTGTGAGGTCACAGAGACCCAGACCTCACAGACCGGGGTCAGAGCTGCCTGCATCATGCCCATATATGGGCATGTGGGAGGTGCTTGGTGAGGGAGGGCGGGGCTGTGATGTGCAGGGGTGGAGCTGTAATGGGGGGAGGCTGTGTGGAGGGCAGGGCCTCCAGGTTACTGATGTATATGAATTCGACCACATCACATCATGCAATGGGGAGGGGGGATGGAGGAGTCATGACGCTTCCTGCCAAGCTGGTCCAAGACCCCATGAGCAGCCCAAACCCAGCTATGAAGTCCAGGTCTCCATGCCTCCTCCTCTGTAAAGGAGGAATTCTGTAAAGGGGATTGAGGTGACTTTTTCTTTGTAAGGACACTCACTCGCTCATCCACTCAGTCAGTTTACAGAGTATCACTGAGCACGTACTGTATGCCAGGTTCTGGCGAGGCCCTGGCAAATGGTGGTAAACAAGTCAGACATGTTCCTGCCTAATAAACTTTACACTCTTAACATAGAGAACATGAACTGCAACCCCATAGACTGTATGTAGCCCACCAGGCTCCTCTGTCCACGGAGTGCTCCAGCTGAGAATATTGGAGTGGGTTGCCCGCGCCCTCCTCCAGGGGATCTTCCCAGCCAGAGGTCGAACCCGGGTCTCCTGCATTGCAGGCAGATTCTTTACCATCTGAGCCACTAGGGAAACCCAATGAAATTACCACGCAGAGCAATTATAATTGTGAAAAAAGAAAAAAAATGCTCCAGAGAAACTTTGGGCTTTTATGAGAAAGTTATGCTGGGGGGACTTGACCTCAGGAGAGGCCCCAAGAAGACCTCCTAAGGAAGAGGACTGGAGTGGGAGGAGGGAAGAACATCTGGGAAGAGGGATCAGCTGCTGCCAAGTCCTGAGGCAGCATGTGTGTGATTCCATTAGTGAAACAGCCACTGAGGGAAAGCCACTGACGCAGGAATGGGTTGGTGGTTGCCCAGAAGCGGGTGGAACGGGAGCAGCTGCTCCATAAATGGTGCGAGGACTCCTTTTGGTGTGAATAAATATGTTTTGAACCCAGAAAGTGATGATGGTTACCCAACATGGTGAATGTTCTCAGCGCCACTGAATTTTCACTTTTAGTATGCTGGATTTTACATGATGTGAATTTTACCTCAATTGGTTAAAAAAAAGAAAAAAAAAGTTCTGAGGCTAAAAGTTGCTTGGAAGGTGTAAGAAATCAAAGGGAGGCCTAGGGGGACAGAGCAGAGAGCACCTGGGAAGGGTGGGCACGACAGAAAGGAAGGTCGCAATTAGAATTTGATTCAGTTACTCATAGCAGGAAACCAGAATAAGTGTCTTTGGCATGTGGTGGTGGTTTAGTCACCAAGTCGTGTCCAGCTCTTGCGACCCCATGGACTGGAGCCCACCAGGCTCCTCTGTCCATGGGATTCTCCAGGCAAGAATACTGGAGTGGGTTGCTATTTCCTTCTCCAGGGGATCTTCCCGATACGGGAATTAAACCTCGGTCTCCTGCATTGTAGGCAGATTCTTAACCAACTGAACTACAAGGGAAGACTTTGGCGTAGAGGTTTTGTTTCATTTAAGAAGTCAGAGTTAGCATGAATACACTGCTATGGACAAAACAGATAACTAATGGGAACCTATTGTGCAGCACAGGAGATTCTACTGGGTGCTCTGTGGCGGCCTAAATGGGAAAAGAATCTTAAAAAGAGTGGGTATATGTGTATATATACAGTGGATTCACCTTGCTGTACACCTGAAACTGACACAACATTGTAAAGCAATTATACTCCCATAAAAATTAATAAAAAGAAAGAGATCAGAGGTGATGTGGATGGTGGTTAGAGTCTCTTCTTTGGGGATCTACACGACAAGTATTTGGGGATAATGGGTATCATGTTTGCCAGCTACTCTCGAGTGATTTAGAAAAAGAACAGTAACAAGGGCTGCATGAATACATAAAAGAAGAGGGAGAGGAAGGGAGGGAGGCAGGGAGGGAGGGAGGGAAAAAGAGGGGAGTAAATGGAATAGAATATTAACAATCAACCAGTCTAGGTGAAAGAAAGTTCTTTGTATGGTTCTTGTGACTTTTATCTAACTTTGAAGTTATTTCAAAATAAATTATTAAGATAATTCTTCCAAAACACAAAAGGAAAAGAAGGCCTTCCAGGGCTGATATAAGGGCTCCACCCTTGTCAAGGGCCCAGACTTCTTTTATCTTTCACCTCTGCCCCAAGGAAGTGCTTTCCATCCTCAAGGTTGCCTCATAGTCCAAAATCATGGGTGCCAAGGATGGTTGTGCAGTTTGTATACTGGTCAAAGCTCTCAGCCAAAGGGACTGAATGGGGCAGGCCAGGCCCAGCACCCATAGGTAAGCTTCTGCCCATGGGAGCTGTCTTTTTTCTAATTAGACAGCTCACAGTGGAAATATTTTCCTAACTGGAACAAAGGCACATTAAAGGCCAGCCTCAGCCCTGCTGAAAATTCAGCTGTACCTACTGTTCAAGAAGGAATGAAGAAGAAGGGGGGTGGCCAAAGGAATCACAATGCACGCTGTAAAGAAATTTCCCAGACACCTCCACCAGCAAATTCTGATCATTTGCCTGATGGCAAGAGCACTCTACCCCTCAGGATAAAGCTGGGGTTCTTAGGAAGGAGAAAGGGGCCACTGGGTAGTTAGTACCCCAGAGGGGATACATCCAGAAACTTCTAGGACCCTACCTCCCAACCCATAACATAGTGGGAAAACCATGAATCTGAAGCTCTAATCCAGTAAGTTATAAGAGAGCTGCGCCTGGCAGGTAGGAGGTAAGCACTAAATTCTCACTAATTGGTTCATGTCTAGACAGACTTAAGATTGTCACACCCTGTCCTGTAACACTGAGTACTTTTTGAAGATAAGCTGTGTGGTCTCAAAGGAGCCCCATGAGATGACAAAGAGGGATATTTACCCGGTTTTGCAGATGAGGAATTTTTTAGTCTTTTATTTTTCTTAATTTATTTTTTTTTATTGAAGTATATATGCTTTACAACGTTGTTAATTCCTGTTGTACAGCAAAGTGATTCAGTTATACATATATACATTCTTTTTTAAAAATATTCTTTTCCATAATGGTTGATCAAAGGATATTTATTTTTAATTAGAGGATAATTGCTTTACAATGTTGTGTTAATGTCCCCTGTAAAACAACCAGATGAGGCATCTGAGTCATACCAGAACAGGTCCCTCATCACCGGGGTTTTTATTGAGCACCTGCTGTATGCCATCACTCTTGTAGGCAGTGGGAATACCACACGAGCAAGAGAGGTGAGAGTTCTTGCCCCCAAGAAACTCACCTTCTAGTTGGGACAGACGATATTATTCAAGCGAACAGACAAATGAACAGAAGACTTTGAAGTTTATTACAGGTGTGCACAGACTAGGCTGATGTTACTTTAGGGTTGCGGGGACAGGACTTCTTGAGGAGGCAACATCAGAGCTGAGATCCCAGTGAGACAAAGGAGCCAGCTCTCCCGACGTCTGTCCCGTGTGGGTGTCCCAGCTGGGAGGGAGTGAGTGGCTCTGCGCCACGTGATCACTCAGGGCAGCAGGCCTCCTCGGACACGGGGCTTCAGGCACATCCTGGGCGTCCACATTCAGAGGAGGGGTGGGCAGGGCATGCTCCTCTGCCACCTAACTGCCCAGGCCCAGAGCGATACTCTTCGCTTCTGTTCCCACCTCATCAGCGAGTCTGTCACATGACCCATGGGCCAAAAGGAAAGCCTGGAGGCCAAGTCCACGAGCTGCCTCTTCTGGGCAACGTCATGATGTAAAAGGGACTGTGGATCATTGCCACAGCCAGGAGGGACCCAGGGTAGCTGGTGGGGAACTCGTACCCCAGGGGGATCTGAGACAGCTGCTCCATGGAGCGGGCAGGTGGACTGAGGCTTGGCTGAGGCTGAGGCCACCGCACAGGAGTGGCCCATTGGGTTCAGGTTTCTGCAGAGCAACAGGAAAAAGCATGGAACTAAAAGGAGGCCGCTGTGGCTACAGAGGAGGATGCACAGTTTAGTAGAGGAGACGAGCGTGAATCAAATCGTCAGAGAGGTAGGGGAGAGGTCCCGATAAGAGTCAGCCCTCGGAGCTCCAGGACGGGGCATTTGGCCAACTCCGGAGCCAGAGGACTTGCAGGAGCCACCAGAAATGCTGGGATTTGTGGGTTCTCGTAGCCAGCTATTTACCCTAAATAATGCAGCACTTTCCACTAACTCATAGTGATTGCTTTACTATTTGTCTCCAAGGAGAATACAAGTTCTGTGGATTCAGGAACTTAATTTTGTTCACTGAGGTCGTCCCAGCACTGAGAGTAATCAGTACATAAAAGACATCCAAATATTTGAGGAAGAACTGAATAAAGGGATGCTTTGTATGATCAGGCTCTTTTATTGTCATTTTCTAAATATAAGATCATGACTTTTGAAATGTCAGCACCCTCTCCCTGCCCACTGCCCTAGTTCTGCTGGGCTGGCCCCAGGCTGAGAAACCTCCAAGACTCCTGCCATCTCAAACACATGCCGAGTCTCAGAAGGACACCCAGTTCTGTTCCCTGAGGCCCTGGTTGGTCAGTCACATGGTGTGTCCTGTCCTCCCCCCTCCCCCGCACACACACATCCGTGATCTCACAATGACCACCCATGGCCGCCTTGATAAAGGGGAGATGTCATTAAAGAGATGGAGAGAGAGGTAGGGGCTTCATGCAGCCTTCTGCCTTTGAGAAGCGTGGAGCCAGGCCGTTAATTCTCAGGGTAACGAGAAAAGGTCAACAGTAGGAAGACAGTGTTGTAAAGGTGCCAGCACACTCACCACTTTGCAGCCAGGGGTCGGTCCTGCGTGCGGGAATTCCCACATGTGGTCATGAAGGTGTGTGTGGGCAGGTGCTCACTGGAGCACTCTTTGTGGGGAGACAATTGACGGTCCCTTACTGTTCATCTTAAGGAAACGGTCCCTTGTCACGACCATATTGCAGCCATTCAGAAGAACACTGCATTTCTTTCTTTTTAATGGCTGAGTAATAGTCCCTTATGTTATAAAATATTGCCATTTGCAGCAACATGGATGGACCTGGAGATTATCATACTAAATGAAGTCAGACAGAGAAAGGCA